ATATATATATTGGGACATATGTTCCACATATCTGGTATGAACTATAAATGTTCCAATAACTATATTTTGTGTTACTTCTTTATTTACTTTTGCTTGTTATACGTTTTATTTATTAAGAATTAAATTATATAAATTTTAATCAATATTTCAAATATATTTTGTTTATATAATTTATATATATGCAATGAATCCATGCAAATATAATATTTCTTGTATAATTTTTTAACAATTTAAAATTTTAAAATATCAATTTGATCTAACTCAATTTAGCTGTGATACTTAATTAAATTAACTCTTATAAAATAAATGGGCCATATGAAAATGAATTAAAAAAATATTTTGTTTAAAATTAAAACGTAAATTAGAGATAATCATCTTTGCTCTCACTTTTTTGTAACCAAACACCAAATTGTGAGTATGACATTTTATTTTAACCAAAACAATTGGCTAATACTAACAGCTAAGTTGATTGGTTTGCTAAACGCAATAGGAAGACATTATATATTAATTAACTTTGGCCATAGATTTTCTAAATAAAATTTGGTAAGAAAATTAGATAAATAGTATTTGTTTTGATAATTTGTTATTATTTGACAAATAACTTAAATTTTCAAATAGTATAAATAAAACTAGTATTTTGGGCAAAGTCTCAAAATTTAAAGTTTACACTAAATTTTTGTTTTTTTTAAAAGAAAAATACGCTTTCTATAATAGTTGCTTGTGTTGTATATGTAATTTTTTATATGAATATCAAAAGAGTGATGTAATATTCAGTGGTACGTGAAACTAATAATATGGTTATTGCGGTTCAGGATAACAGTCATGTGCTTTGTCAACTTTAATTTACAATGTACGATATGAAGCACGTCACACTATCACATTGCTCCAGTGTCATAAACACTATTTGTTATTTATTGCAACGAAAATCCAACTGACTTATTATGAAAGTCATGAATTTTATTATATCGACATTTCGATCTTTCTATGTAATAAATTAATTCTGATAATATTTAAAAACTTATAAATATAAATCACATTATATGTTTTTCAAATACTATGTATAAATCATATTATATGTTTTTCAAATACTATGTATAAATCATATTATATGTTTTTCAAATACTATGTATAAATCATATTATATGTTTTTCAAATACTATGTATGGAGAGATATCAAGTGGCAGACATACAGTACCTTGTGGGCCAATAGGAAGGGAACAGATGGACCACTAATGGATGGGCTTTTTCTATTTCTGCCATTTATGTTCATGTGAAAATTGAGGTAAGCAACAGCCAACTAATTGAAAAAAAAAAAAAAACCCAACAAATATGGGATGACAATTGGTCGGATTAAATTTATCATACTATAAAACTATATCTTATTATAATTTGGTATATTTTTAGTTTATATTTTTTATAATAATGATAATTCCTTTTTGGAAAAATTACACGAGTTAGTATATTTTAATAAATAATTATTGATTTTAGCGATATTTTTTATTTATTATCATTTATAACAATATTATGTTAACTCTGCAATATGAATTAAAAGTGAATTATGTATGCAATATATATGAATTATAATTGTTTTTTGTAATATATAATGTTTGTTTGGTAAGAATTTGACACATTGTATTATAAATGAATTAAAATGTGTGAAAAAAATGTATTATCTATCATTAAAACTTGTATTACATGTGAATAATAAATTGTTCTTTGTAATGTGTATTAAACTTGTATTATAAATGAATTAAAAGTGATTAAGTGAAAAAAATGTTATTGTTATAAATGGTAAATATTTTTTTATTATAATATATTTATGTAAGTTTAATTTCCCTTTCTTTTTCATCCTCAGGTTACTTTAGACGATCAACTGTTTAATCTAGTTACTTTCCTTTTTATCGCTTCTATTAAATATGTATAACTAAAATATAACATACTTGAAATATTTTGAAATTTTCAATCGTTTTAAGAAAAATAAAATTATAGATGTTTGACATTATTATGGTAGTTCCAAGGAGACCCCAAGTGAGTGTGAGAGCCACTTGTAGGCTTTCTTTTCAATACGCTTGGATTACACGGCACACAAGATGTGTTTGACATGGAGATTTTCAATTTTTTTAACGTTGCATTGATAAAAATATTATAAAGCATGCTTTTTTAAAAAAGAAAAGAAAAAAGAGAAATTTATATTAATAGTAAGGTTCAAATTCATAATTTTTTTCGTGGAAAGTATTTCTATCAACCTTTTTTTACCACTAAAATTCGTCAATTAATTTTGTTAGACAGTTCACACAAGTTATTAATTGACTTATATACATTATATATATTTTAACTTTCTATTTTATATATAGGATTTACGAAAAAAACTATTAATTTGTTCGAACCAGTGAATCTCCCTCCACCTAGCTCCCCTCGCTCTTCCTTCCTCTCTTTATCCTACAATATTGTACTAAATTACATATAAATATTTTAGAATAAATAATTTATTTGACCTAGCTTTTGAAAGACGAGAAAAACTTCAACCCTTCAAAAAGTGAGATATTTAATCAAGTTTTGTGAGAAGATAAATACTTGTGAAGAGCAACAAAATCTATAGTACACATACAAATAGAAATACTTTTTTTCCAAAAATTTGGTCAAAAACTAATTTGCCCCAAAGAGCTTTTTAAATTTATAGGTAGAAAATTAGCTGTTTTTTTTTTCAATTTTTCTTTTTCAAAATAAGCAAAATTTAAAATTTTGATTAAAAACAGAGCATAAATAGAGAAAACTCACATAAATATTTTTTTGTCGTCACCAAACACAAAGCCATAGTAGTGCTAAAATTGCTATATATTAGTAAAAAACAAAATCAAATGAAATATAGCAAAAGCGCGTTAAATTAGCAATACATCTCGGCAACACCACAAAATCAAAATAATAATAATAATAATTTTTTCTTTACCAAAAAATAATAATAATAATAATAAAATAAAATCTTTCATGATTGTACTAAACTCCCTATATATAGCTATCTTATTTGCCAGCAAATACCAACAAACTATCTATACTCAATATCATTCATCATTATTCTTTACACTCTCTCCAAAACTACATTATATTTTATTTTTTTTCATTTTCTACAACAATATTTGTTATTTCTCCCAGAATTTTTTCTTTCAAAAATAAACATCTATAAGTCGTTAACTATGAAACTATTATCGGACATGGCTTCATGTAATTCACATGGTCAAGATTCGTCGTATTTCTTAGGGTGGCAAGAGTACGAAAAAAACCCCTACGATGAAATTCAGAATCCAAAAGGAATAATACAAATGGGTCTCGCAGAAAATCAGGTAAAAAAATTATCCCATTAATTTATACATACATACATATATATATTTCGTATTTTATTTTATTACGATGCAATATCAAATAATTTTATTTTATTTTCGCGTTACGCAGCTTTCATTCGATTTATTAGAGTCTTGGCTTGCCCAAAACCCAGACGCAGCTGGATTTAAGAGAAATGGAGAGTCTATATTTAGAGAACTTGCTTTATTTCAAGATTATCATGGCCTTCCTGACTTCAAAAATGTACGTTACATATCCACTTTAATTTTATTTTTTTTAATAATAAAACTTTTACGTATTTAAGTACTTGTCAAGTTATAGGGTAATGGTAATGCGAATATCGCGCTCTTTTCAAACTATTATATAGAGAAGTACTGAAAACACTCTTATGAATTATTAGTTTCATTTTACGAACTGTTGACAATTTTAAAAACATCCCTTTACTTGACTACACCCCCAATCTTATAACATCAGTGAAATGCACCCATAAATTGTCGTCAAGTTTAGAAGTATTTTAAACACTTCTCTCGATTTTTTATCAAGAGTCACGTGCTCGAACAAGAATTTGTGGGGGTGCATCTAAGTTCAGTTAGTTAAGTAGATAACTGTTTTGTTCAAGATTAAAATTAGAAATTTTTTCAGTACCTTTTTTCCAAACTAAATTATATATAATTTGTTGTTTTAGTAGTTATTAAGTTATCATAATCTCACATTTTTATGTTTAATTAAATTAATGCAGGCATTGGTTCAATTTATGTCAGAAATTAGAGGAAATAAAGTTACCTTTAATCCAAACAAACTTGTCCTTACGGCCGGCGCTACTTCCGCAAATGAAACGCTCATGTTTTGCCTAGCCAACCCAGGCGATGCTTTTCTCCTTCCTACCCCTTACTACCCGGGGTACGTTATGTTTATTTTTTATACTGTCAGTGTATATAAGTTAAATTATTTTGATTACGTTATTTATATTACATTTGTACGTATGCAGATTTGATCGAGACTTAAAATGGAGGACCGGGGCGGAAATAGTTCCAATACAATGTACAAGTTCAAATGGTTTCCGAATTACACAATCTGCTCTTGAAGAATCTTATAAATTAGCGAAAACTCGCAATCTTAGAGTTAAAGGGATACTAGTTACTAACCCATCGAATCCATTGGGCACCACATTAACGCGTAACGAGCTCGAACTACTTGTTAGCTTTGTTGCGGAAAAGGGGATTCATCTTATTAGCGATGAAATATATTCAGGCACGGTTTTTAACTCACCCAAGTTCGTTAGTGTTATGGAAGTATTAATCGAAAATAATTATATGTACACCGAAGTTTGGGATCGAGTTCACATTGTTTATAGCCTTTCGAAAGATTTAGGCCTTCCCGGTTTTCGAATCGGGGCGATTTACTCAAACGACGCGGTCATTGTCTCCGCGGCTACAAAAATGTCGAGTTTTGGGTTAATTTCATCACAAACTCAATACCTTTTATCGGCTATGTTAACCGATAAAAAGTTTACGAAGAAATATATCTCCGAAAATCAAAAGAGGCTCAAGAAAAGACATGCAATGTTAGTGAAAGGACTTGAGAGTAGTGGAATTAGTTGTCTTGAGAGCAATGCGGGTTTGTTTTGTTGGGTTGATATGAGACATTTATTAAAGACCAATACATTTGAAGCAGAAATTGAGCTATGGAAGAAAATAGTTTATGAAGTTAGGCTTAATATTTCGCCTGGATCATCATGTCATTGTACTGAACCGGGTTGGTTTCGTGCATGTTTTGCGAACATGTCAGAAGATACATTGAATCTCGCTATTCAACGTATTAAAAGTTTTGTTGATTCCTCTGATGTGATTGGTATCAATGTTGACCAAAGTAATCAGACTAATCAGAATACAAGTACAAGTCCAAAGAAAAAGTTATTTGCCAAGTGGGGTTTTCGGTTATCGTTCAACGACAGAGAACGATAGTCTGTGTGAACAAAAATTCAAATTTGATATCGCCAACGTGAACATTCCCTTGTCCATGGTGATTTTTTATAACTCAATATTTTTAGAAATTGAGTTTTCCATTATTATTTTTAAAAAAAATCAAATTATACATGATTTTTAATGTAGAGAATGCACTCGGTCCATGTGATGGATGAGAAGTGTTTTTTCATTTTCATTATTTATTTGTAAATGCACTCGGTCCATGTGATGGATGAGAAGTGTTTATTTCATATTTCATCATTATTTGTAAAAAAAAAAAAAGAGAACATACTACAAAATATATATGTGTGAAATTAATATTCTTGAATTGTTCCAACTATAACATTATATCATAAGTTTTCTTGAATTATTCAACATTCTGGTCCCATTTAATTTTAAAAACATCAATACATGTTTACAGTTTATACGATACATTATTTGAGAAAATAAATAAATATTTATCGAATTCTTGACTACATATTTATATTTTGCTTGAGTCCTGTTACTCTCTTGAGTTTTTTAAAGACAAAATATATATCACCCTGAAACTAGACAACCACATTCTCAATATGTAGTAATGCGCACTCGTGCCAACTTATATTTATTATTATTTATATTTAATTTTTTATCCTTATCACTTTTTTCATTAATTACAAAAATTTGTATACTTTTTTTTCCTCTTTCTTCTTCTTCTTTTTTTTTTTGTTTTTTATTTCCTTCTAATTTCAAATCACTCACCCAAGAAAAAAATTAAAGTTATTTTTTTTAATCATTTTTTCATCATTTCATAGCACCCTTCAGGCACCTTGCAAGCTTGATAATTCTATCTCTTTTCTTTTTTTAAATTTTATTATGTTATTTCTTTGTCTCCACGACATTAAATTTGTAATATTTTATTTACGATTTTGCGATGTTTAAATTTTTGGGTCTTTACCAAACAACAATAGAAATTGAATATAAGATCTGATGGATGATGTATGTTACCAACCCAAAATCGGTTAGAAAGTAGATTAATGGTGTTGATATATGAAATAACTTGAGATTGATAAAAATGAAAAAAAGTTGGATGATGACCCAATTATGTACCCAAAACTCATGATCGAAAAATCTATTATATATTCATAATTGTTTTAATTGACTTGATTTCTACAATAATTTTAAAAGATCTAATAATAGAATGAATTTTTATGATGGAAGGTGTTTAATAGTTTTATTCTTTTTATTTTTTATTTTTTTTGATGATTTGCAGCGTTAGTCTGTAGAAACTAGTGAAGCAAATTCTAAAAAATATTAGAAGATGGATAAAAAATATGGTTAATGCAATAATGGTGGTTTAAGGTGGAGTAAATCTTGAGTAATGAGAAAGAGAGGAAATAAAAGAAAAAGAAACAAAAAAACTTAAAAGAGAAAGGTAAAAAAAGTATATCTAATAAAAAGTTAAATTTAAAAATATTATTATAATATTATTTATTAGTTCTATCGACTTTCACGTGCCTTCAAGACAGTGAGACACTTTCTATGCCATATCAACATCTAAGGGTGTATTTTATTCAGTTTTAAAATAGTTTAGCAAGGTATAGAAATCCGACAAAGTTTAAGTATGTAGTCAGAATTCAGTAATAGGTTAGAAAGTATTTGTCTATTTTCTCTACATTGTTTATTTAGATTTTGATTATTATTCTAAAATAAAAAAGCAGTTAGGTGTACAAAATAAATTAAAATATTATACGGCAAATAAACAAATTAATTAATGGGAATAACATGCTACAATATGGATGCGGCGAAACTAACGGCAACACACCATGTCTTATCATGCCAACGTTGGAGGTTGGATATTGGCCAACTTGAATATCTTATATTAAAAAAAAAAAGAAATAAAAAAATATTTGTCAATAGACTTGAAAATAGTTTTTAAGTATAGATAGTAGAAAGGGAGAAAAAAAAAGATCGTCTGACTCGAGTTATGACTTGTTCAACACAAAGAGATTCAAACTTTAGTCAGATTTTAGATTTGATTTTAAACGGAAGTTATCATTGGCTCGAGTTATATATTATGTAAGAATAAGAAAAAGAATTAAAATATAAATAACAAGATGGCGTCATTTTGAATTCAATGATCCAAAAGGTGTGTGCCCGTTTGGCCATAAATTTTTCAAATAATATTTGGGAAAAATTTGCAAATAATGTTTGTCCATACAATTTGTCATTATTTGGCAAATATCCCAAATTTCCAAATACTAGTTTTTTCTAGTATTTGAGCCAAATATCATTATTT